CCAGCGCACGTCATTGTGGAGTAAGAGGTCATCATGAGAGGCTTCAGATTCCTGCACAAATTTTCGGAACAAACGGTGCTGTGTGCTTGAATTCCCCCTGATGAAGTTAATTATTTTCATTGTTTTGTCCATAACCTCTTTAAGATCACCTCTTAATTTTGCGCACAGCACGCTTTGGTGAATGAGACAGTGAAGTGCGTTAACGCTGGGAGCGACAGCCTTAATTCTGCTCACTAGTCCCCTGTTCCTACCAATCATGGCAGGAGCACCATCTGTGACAACCAGGTTGACTTCTTCAAATGACAGTCCATGCTTTTGAAATAGTTCCTCCAGCTTTCCAAAGATAATAGCGCCAGAGGTCAGGCCCTCCAGTGGAATCAAGGCCAGCAGCTCTTCTTTGAAATCTTTGCCATCAAAATATCTGACGAAAACGCACAAATGTCAGTATTGTCGGTGGACTCATCAATAGCCAGCGATAGGTATCTGGCTTCTTTGATCTCATCAATTACAAGTCGTTGTAAGTCGGATATCCTCTGCCAAAACACGGACACGAACAGCGAACAGCAGTTTTAGCAGACAGAGGTATCTGCTTAACAGACGCAATTATCCTGTCTGTAGATTTGTCAGTGGCAAGTTCCTCCAGAACAGCCACCATGCACTCCTTAAAAACCTCAGCATCGGTAAATGGCTTGTTATGCCTGGAGAGTACCCAGGCAGCCTGTAGAGAAGCACTTGTTGCCCTCTCTTGTTCAGTTGAAGTTCGGTTAATAATTCCACTGGCATGGGAGTACTGAGACTCCTTGAAGCTTGAGTGCTTTGTGCTGTGGTGACGCCTCAGATTGTACTCTTTGGCGACAGCGACAGTTTCGTTACAAATGAGGCACACAGGTACAGCATTTTTAAAGGTTGGCTCTATGAATAGGTACTTATCAGTCCATTCCTCATTAAAACTACGGTTCTCTGAATCAATTTTCTGCTTAAGACTCTTTGAGAGTGCCATTTTTCATTCAAATATATTCAGAAGACCTTCCTTCTTCAAGTGTTCTCCACAAACTACGACCTACATTTGACATTGATTGACAGCTTGACAGCCTCACAAATATGAAGCCTAAAATATTGCTATCGCCCCCTAGTGGCCTAAAAATTTTTTTTAAAAAATAATATATATTACATAATATTATAATAGTATGGGTTTGTTAACACTGACAGAGGCTAAAAAATAATAAATATATATATTTATAAAATAATATATTTGGAATGGAAATCAGTTTAACAAATAATAACATATTACTTAGGATACAATACTAATTTTATTTTATTTTACAAGCATCTGGCGCTTACAGTGTCTGCAGAGAAAAATTCTGGCCGTAGACAAATCTAGTTGATGACAGGAGGAGCAGGAGTAGATGGAGTTACAAGCTGGTTGATAGTAGTAAACAAAAACCTTGGGTTATGTTTATTGCTAACAATCAGGTCAGAAAAGTAGGCAGCTCGCACCTCTTTAATAGTTGGTTCAAGTTAAACAGTAGTTCCTTCATGTAGAGGCGGTGGACTTGAAGTTTGTACTTTTTCCAATTTAGCTCGGCCTTCCTGTATTCCCTTCTTTGTTGTCTTATATTGTTGTTGATCCAGGGAGTTTTATTAATAACTGGGACAGCCCTGGATGTATGTGGAGCAGAAAAATCAAGGGCTGAAATTATTATTAATTTATTATTAAATTATTAAACCAGCTAAATTGATTGGATTGGAGAAGTAAGGAGGAGAAATGGCCAAACTAGAAAAATGGCTACAAAATGTGGCTGCTGACTGATTATTAAAGATGCGAGAGTGGATTATACGTTTCTGGGATGGTGAAGCAGTTATAAAATGAGTATCAAACGTAATACATTTGTGGTCAGAGACAAAATCATGCATATTCAGGGACCAAGAGACAGATCCAGAGTAAAAACTAAGTGTGCCCACGGTTATGTGTAGGGCCTGAGACGTGCTGCACAAGGTTAAAAGATTTCCACTAGCAGGGAACACTCCCTTGGCTTCAGCCAGGTTTTAGTAAGAAACAGAAAATAAAGGTTATGGGATGTAATTAGATCATTGAGAATGAAGGATTTATTAGACATAGACTGTGCATTCAGAAGAGCACAGGCAACTGGGATGAGGGGCTTAGATGGAGTAGAAATACCACAGTAAACCGAAACCAGAGACTTAACAGTAGAAGAGACAGAGTGCATAGAGTAATGGGTTTTAATCTAGGCGTCATTCTGACAGGAATAATGTAAGAGCCTGGGGGGGTACAGTCAAATGGACTCATTGCAGGTCAGGATATAAAGGCTTTACAGGAGTGCAGTGAATCAAGTATCTCCATAAACTGGTTAGCATCACAGATTCAAGTTTTTACTGCTTTTGTTTTCTCTGTTGTTCTCTCAGACTGTGATATCTAGTGGTGTACCACAAGGTTCAGTTCTAGGTTCATATCATTTACTTGATTATTGTTATCTGCACAATAATACACTAAAGAAGAAGAAGAAGAAGAAGAAGAAGAAGAAGAAGCCTTTATTTGTCATTGCACAGGATACAAGGATATCACGTTTATCAGCCGCCACAGCTGCTAAGGCCGCGCGCGGAGCCATGGGTGGTATTCACGGTGCCTTGCTCAAGGGCACCTCATCGGCATCTTGGGTGGGATTCGAACCAATATTCTGATCATTGGTCCAGCTCCTTAACCACTAGACTACGATGCCCCGTACATAGCTGTGTAAGAATGTGTGTATGTCAATTGTAGCGTCAAATAAAAAAAACTAACTGCTTCTTTGTGTGAAGCCTCAACATGTTGAGATCAAATGAACCTGTAAACTGATATTTATCACACACAACGTGATGGTGCAGAATATCTCACCATGTAATCTGTATTCTATCATATTATGTGTTGATCCCCTTTTCCTCACAGCTACAGTATTTTGTAAATCCAGATATTTTCTGTGCTGACTGATTTGGATTGTGAATGTGTGTTTGTGTTGTTCTAAACTTTTTAAATGCATTTGATTTCTTAATCCTTAATTCACAGTATTAATGTGCTTTTGTATGACACTAAAAATTGAATAATGTGCATTCCAATTATTATCCCAGGATGACTGAATCTTGTTTTTCTGTAGTAGCAATATTGGTTATTATTTATTGTATCAAAATTCATTAGCACCAGCTATAAACAATGCAGCCCCCCCATAGCTGCATATGAGTCTCCTCCTACTGACTGCAGAGGTGCTTCATGGTAGAACTGTTTGATTCCAGCTGTGATCATCACACCAAACACAGCTCACAAAACGTATTCATACTGAACCTTCAATTACAGCATTTTACCTCTGTAAACATGGATAAACTCACTGTTATTTTGTTCTTTTCTACTCTCATAGGTATGTATGTGTTTGTCAATGTGTATGGATGTCTCACTTTGGAACAGAACTCTCAATATAACATGTTGTTTCCCTCACTAGGTAACACCTTGGAAGATGATATTACTGCCAGCAGAGCTGAAGTGTTTTCATCAGAGGGCCATAGTGTCACTCTGTCCTGTAGCTATTCAGTTAAAGCCAATAATCTCCAGTGGTATCGACAGGATCCTGGATCAGCTCCTCAGTACCTTCTCCTGATCACTGACACAACAGAGCCTTCAGTGCTGAAAGCACAACCTCCAAACCCTCGACTGACTCCTAAACTGAATGAGGAGAGAAATCAAGTCGATCTGGAGATCTCCTCTGCTGCAGTGACAGACTCTGCTGTGTACTACTGTGCTCTGCAGCCCACAGTGACAGGAAACACCAAAACTCTGTACAAAAACCAAAGACAACAGAATACTCCACAACATCCACTAGAGGGAGTCACACACTGTTAAACTTCAATAGTATCTGATGATACAGTGTAGAATCACATAGTTTGCAATACCCAGTGTAATAGTTCAAATCCATGCTAGGTACAAACATGAAGGATAAAGATTAAACCTTTCAAATACAATAAAGTACAATTTTCCGATGACTTTTCAAAAATGAATGTTAATCTGCTTCATCTTTTTAGTTTTATGTACAATTTCCCACTGGCTCATTCCTAGGTCCTCTCATTTTCTATTTATATGCTGCCTTTAGATTAGGGACTTCCCAATCTGATCCAATGATCAGTATCGGTGCTGATCAAATACTTGTTAACTGACTGGTATCTGCTATATCGAGCTTTATTGATGTGATCAGATATTTTGTTCTATGTCAGCTATCACACAGCTGAGGAAGCTTTCATGCACAGTTCAGCCTTTGTCAACTCTCACTGTTTCTTTCCTCCATCCTGCTCTGAGTGAGAGAGAGCAGGAGCAACCGCCCAATGTGGAGTTTCACTGTGGGCCTCCCTCTGCTCGCAGGAGAGAGCAGGAGAGACTCAACCACACTCAACACGCCACTGCAAGTGCAACTAAAGTCCTGTGAACAAAAAGCCAATGACAATAATAATTAATTTAATCCTGGCAAAAGATGTAGAGAGTAAAGAAACTACAGAAACAGTCAGCAGAATACAGACAGTTCATTCAGGTAACTCAGGTAAAAGCTGCACTGAAGCAACAAAGACTGGAGAGAGAAACTCAGGGTTTAAAACCTTTGATTGGGACATCTCTGCTTTAGATCAAAATATTTCTATAGACAACATCAGATTCATTTTTATACATTACATGATTATTTTTTAAATTAAACGCCAGTACTCGTGGCAGCTGGTTCATTAACTGTTGGTGTTCCAGACCTATTAATTGAGTGAGATTTGTTGATTCGCCCTGAAAATTCTGAAAAACGTCTAAAATCAAATCTGATTGCACTCTCCATTAATGTTACACATACTAATGTAATATTTGACACTGAGCTTCCTTTTCATTGACATTTACAAACCCTGAAAAAGGTGATCCATCCTTTAAATCACTCATGTAACTCCAGTAATAAAAGAATAAACAAAAGCCTTCCCACCTCCAGCTGGTAGAAAATGCTGCTACCAGTCTGTTAACCAGGAGGAAGAAAATACAGATCTAAGAGGAGAGGGAGAGATTCAGGGAGGAGCTAAGCTGTTACTGAACTATAGAAGAGAGAGGAACTTCCATATTCAGCAGAGTTCAATACACAAACCAGAAACATTACCTTTATTCAACATGCTGTCACTGCACACAACTTTCTCTACTATTACTCTACTGTACATCATAACAGGTATGTTGTTTCTGCATGGTGATGATGAAATTGAATTACAAAGAGTCTTTTGCAACACGAAATGACAGAGTTATCTCTCCCTTTAGGTGTCAGCTGTGAAGAACTCACTCCAGTCAAGGATGAAGAGTCCAGTTTAGAAGACAGCACTGTTACTCTGTCCTACACATACTCTAAACTGAAAACTAATGATTATTTCTTCTGGTATCGACAATATCCAGGAAAACCACCAGAGTTCCTCATCTCTCACTCTGCTTCAGGAAATGTAGTAAATGAACAAATCCCTGGACTGAAGATTGAAGTGGAGCAAAACCAAATAGAAATGAACATCTCCTCTGCTGCAGTGACAGACTCTGCTGTGTACTACTGTGCTGTGAAGCCCACAGTGACAGGAAACACCAAAACTCTGTACAAAAACCTGACAGCTCCTCACTGAAGATTTACACACTCCAGCTTCTGCTTTTACTGAACAACAGCCCCATCAAGTGGACACTGATAATAAGATCCAGTGATAAAATAAATAGTTATTCAGTTAAGTCTGTCTTAAAACAACATTCATATGTTCATATGTACATTAAAACATGATTCTTTCTGTAATCATTCCTCCTGTTCATACTGGTCTTTAAAATATATTTTCCTGATGTCAATTCCATCCTAGTGATGGGGGACAAACTCCAGTCCTCATTCTGTACAGAAATATATTCCAAAGTTCAGTTCAAGTTAATATGATGATTCAGCAGTCTGAGTTACACAAAAAAAGATACGATCTAAATCTTTTTGTGCAGAGGCAATTTTAAAAAGTCTTAAACTTTAGAAGAAACCCACTGGATCTCACTGTGGAAGTCTCATATTAACTTCAACTGTGTCTTCAGTTGAAGGGAATCCATCATCCTCTGTGAACCATGAATATCTGGATAAAAGCTCATGACAATCCATTCAGCAGTTTCTGAGATATTTCACTGCTGAATATAAATGAGATGTAAATGTTGAGAGTTCCTCAACAGATGATAAAGAGGAAGGACCAATGATGTGAAGGCCCAGATCCATCAGAGTATCAATGTTCTTCCTCTCTCTCCTCCCCTCTCACTGCAGACATGAAACACTGGCTGAGAAACATCCTGATTCTGACTCTCTGGCTAGGTAACTCTTTAAACCTACTGATTGTTCTCCTTTAATCAATCATCTTTATTGATTCATCTCTTCCTCTGCATGTTCTCTTCTTCCCCAGAGTGTAAAGGAGAAGACAGAGTGACCCAGCCACCAGGAGATGTCATTGCTACTGAAGGAGAGACAGTTACACTTGGATGTACATTTGAGACCAGTGACAGCTTCCCCTATTTGTTCTGGTACAAACAGGATGGAATTGATTCCCCAAAGTTCATGCTGAAACGTTTTTCAGATTCATCAGAAAATGCTGCTCAGTTTAAGAAAGACCGATTTAATGCTACAATCAAGAATAAGTCAGTTCCTCTGAAGATCCAGAAGCTTCAGCTGTCTGACTCTGCTGTGTACTACTGTGCTCTGCAGCCCACAGTGACAGGAAACACCAAAACTCTGTACAAAAACCTTTGGAGCAAAGACAACAGAATACTCAACACCCACTACAACACCCACTAGAGGGAGTCACACACTGTTAAACTACAGTGCTATGTGATAATAGGGTCTGACAGGACTGAGATGTAAAGCTTTAGAAATTAAACTACTGACACTGCATTGTAAATTAAATTTCATCCAGATAACCAAGGTAACACCAAAATAAAAAGGATTATACCTTTCAGATATAATAAAGCACACTTCTGTATGAAGCAGTTATGATACAGCACAAAATAAGTGAAATGTTATACATAAAGTCACTTTAACATGTGTGTAACATTTCATAAAATTGTATCAACAATTATTGTTACATATGTAAGTGTTGTAGATACAGGTCATAGGTCTGTACTCTTTTTCTGATTCATATAATACTAACAATCATGACATTAATAACTTAATTTTATTTATTTTAGTTTGAGCGGGTCCAATAATTTGATCACTAATTGTCTGTCAGAGACAGGTAATAAAGATTTGATCGAGTACATTTTGACAATAATACTAAGTTACAGAGGACAGGGCAGATACAGGACAGAGGCCATGTTTAACAATTAGGACCTCTCTCATTTTTATTATCTTGCTTCTTCTCTCAGGTCTTGCAGGTTGATCAGTAATTTAGTGGTTTGAGTTCATGACTCAAGATGTTGCATTCTGTGCTTAGTCAAAGGTTTGCATCCCGACCATGGAAAACTTTAAAACGCAACTTTCTGAGCTAGTTTGACATTAGGTCTACAAAATGTTCCAGATCTTTTCCAAATTAGTAATTGTATTCAGCTGTTATGCACACTCAAACATATTTTAAACCCATCTTCAATCTCGATTGTTTTGCTGAAAATGTGTGGTTATATATTTCATTATAGACTCTTCAGTAATTATGGTAGCAGCTTTATTATTATTTATCTTATTATTATAATTATTATTACATATTATTATGTCTAAGTGTTGCTGTTTCAGACCTTTATACAACTGGCCACATGTGTTTGTTTCACGAAACCGACCAAAAACAACCTTGCTAAGCTTTCCCTTGAAATTAAAACAACAGTACAGTATTAGTCTGGGTATAATATTTTACACTGAGCTTCCCTTTCATCATCAGCTGACTAAAGTTGTACAATGATGAAATAATGTTTCCTTTTCCTTTTCTTTGAATGTGATAGAAGCAAAACATCTTCCTATAAAAAATACATTTTGTAGGTGATCTATTTTTGTTAAGTACCCATGATGTAATTTTTCCTCAAATGTGACTCTAATGTAATAATGCGGATAATATTGTTTGTGTAAAGTATTTAATAAGTAATGAATATGGTTGTCATGTGTAAATGAACAGTAGCATATCGTCGGACAAAAACTGTAACTCAGTCAGGACCTTCACGTGCTGTAAAGTGTCAATCAGTGTGACCTTATCAGCTACTTGTTACCTGATGGAAATGATGGCATTTAGTGAATAACAGCAGCACAGCAGTGACAAACACACTATTTGTCAGAGTTGTGAGAGGAAGGAGGGAGGGATTAAGGGAGGAGCAAAACTGAGACTCAAGTACAGAAAAGACAGAAACTTTCACAGTGGTGTTTCATCCAAAAAACAGACAGATTGTCTTTATCTTTAAGATGCTGTCAGTGAACTTCAGTCTGTTTGTGACTTTGTTTCTGCTCACAATAAGAGGTAGGTGAGATCATTAACATTAAAAGAGCTTCATTGATAAAAACCTTTAGATCATAAAGTTACAGAGTAATCTCTTCCTTTAGGTGTCAGCTGTGAAGAACTCACTGCAGTCAAGAAACAAGAGTCCAGTTTAGAAGACAGCACTGTTACTCTGTCCTACAAATACTACAAACAAGCTGGTGGCAATGATTATTTCTTCTGGTATCAACAAAATCCAGGAAAAGCACCAGAGTTCCTCATCTCTACATCTCAGGAACACAAATTTACAAGAGCAACGGAGTCTCAAAATTGTCAGTTCCAAACTGTCTGAGGAAAAACCAACTGGATCTGCAGATCTCCTCTGCTGCAGTGACAGACTCTGCTCTGTACTACTGTGCTGTGAGGCCCACAGTGACAGCAAACCCACAGTCTCTGTACAAAAACACAAGCTGACACACTGACAAGCTGCTGGAAGCCTTTTTCCACACTGTTGGACTCAACTTTTTAGCTCCACTAGAGGGCGACATTATCAAGTAGGCGGTGCACTACTTCTGCACTGTGTTCAACCATTCTGTCAATAATAACTGCTGCTGTGAAGAGAACAATTGTCACACTGAATGTTGAACATCAGCTAGTTTCTCCTGTTGATTTAAACCTTGTTGTAGAGATGGAACATTGGCTGTGGATTATTCTTGCTGCTCTTTTCTTTGGTAAGATAGAAAGCACAACATGTTTTTATTCTTTTCTAAAGATTGATGGAAACTGGAGTTCAGAGCAGAAATCTCTCAACAGTTGAGCTGTTTCTGTCCACAGAGTAACACTGTACACTTGATATTTTCCACTGTCTTCTCCTCTCAGCCTCATGAACAATGTTAGTCTAATGGCTTCATTTTCTCCACTTTTTCCAGGACTAATAGCTGGAGACACAATCTCTCCTGTAGGAGATAAAGTCAGTGGAAGAGAAGGAGAATCTGTCACACTCAAATGTCGATATGACACAGCTGAAAGCTATATTAGGCTTTACTGGTACAGACATTCTGACTGACAAACCAACTGGATGATGCTTCAAACACAAGACCATTTTACAGACTAAAAGACTTTTCAACGATTAAAGTTTTGTTAGTTGCAGCTTTAATCATGTTTTCTGTACCAAGATTTCTTTAAACATGTTTCACACTCACAACAGTTAGAATGTCTGTACAGTGTGCAGTTTGGATGTTTCAGGAAGTTGTTTCTCTACAGACTGATTCAGTTGAGTTTTGTGCAGATTCCTCCTTCAGTCTGACCTTCTTGGATGATGATGACTTCAGCATCACTGTCATTTCTAAAGCTTCCATCAGCCTGAATGCAAACAGACCACAGCAAGAGGAGGAGCTACACAATTCATTTTGGAAGTGAAGAGCTGCTGTGTTCTCTCTGTTGTTCATTCAGTACAAGTGGAAATAATGCAGCTCTCTTTAGTTTGGATGATGATCTTCATCTTTCATACTGGTAAATCAACTTCAACAAGATATGTTAGACATGATTCAAAAACATTTCATGTTCTTTGCAAATTCATGAATGTTCTTCTACAACTAAACTCACTTTAGAGAAATACAGATGTGACAGTGAAATATATCTTTGTTCTTTTCAGGATCCTCTGAGGATTTAGTGAAACCATTTAAAGATGTAATGCTGGCTTTGGAAGGAGACACTGTGACTCTCTCCTGTAAATATTCAGTCTCTGTTGACTACCTCTACTGGTATCAACAGAAGTCCAGTTCACCTCCACAGCTTCTCATCATGGAATATTCAGAGAAAATAGCAAGGTTGTCTTTAACACATGACAAAAATTCAAAGGAGTTTCATCTGGAGATCTCCTCTGCTGCAGTGACAGACTCTGCTGTGTACTACTGTGCTGTGAGGCCCACAGTGACAGGAAACACCAAAACTCTGTACAAAAACCTTTGGAGCAAAGACAACAGAATACTCCACAACATCCACTAGAGGGAGTCACACACTGTTAAACTTCAATAGTATCTGATGATACAGTGTAGAATCACATAGTTTGCAATACCCAGTGTAATAGGTCAAATCCATGCTAGGTACAAACATGAAGGATAAAGATTAAACCTCTCAAATACAATAAAGTACAATTTTCCGATGACTTTTCAAAAATGAATGTTAATCTGCTTCATCTTTTTAGTTTTATGTACAATTTCCCACTGGCTCAGTCCTAGGTCCTCTCATTTTCTATTTATATGCTGCCTTTAGATTAGGGACTTCCCAATCTGATCCAATGATCAGTATCGGTGCTGATCAAATACTTGTTAACTGACTGGTATCTGCTATATCGAGCTTTATTGATGTGATCAGATCTTTTGTTCTACGTCAGCTATCACACAGCTGAGGAAGCTTTCATGCACAGTTCAGCCTTTGTCAACTCTCACTGTTTCTTTCCTCCATCCTGCTCTGAGTGAGAGAGAGCAGGAGCAACCGCCCAATGTGGAGTTTCACTGTGGGCCTCCCTCTGCTCGCAGGAGAGAGCAGGAGAGGCTCAACCACACTCAACACGCCACTGCAAGTGCAACTAAAGTCCTGTGAACAAAAAGCCAATAAGAATAATAATTAATTTATAACTGGCAAAAGATGTAGAGAGTAAAGAAACTACAGAAACAGTCAGCAGAATACAGACAGTTCATTCAGGTAACTCAGGTAAAAGCTGCACTGAAGCAACAAAGACTGGAGAGAGAAACTCAGGGTTTAAAACCTTTGATTGGGACATCTCTGCTTTAGATCAAAATATTTCTATAGACAACATCAGTTTCATTTTTATACATTACATGATTATTTTTTAACTTAAACGCCAGTACTCGTGGCAGCTGGTTCATTAACTGTTGGTGTTCCAGACCTATTAATTGAGTGAGATTTGTTGATTCGCCCTGAAAATTCTGAAAAACCTCTAAAATCAAATCTGACTGAACTGTCCATTAATGTTACACATACTAATGTAATATTTGACACTGAGCTTCCTTTTAATTGACATTTACAAACCCTGAAAAAGGTGATCCATCCTTTAAATCACTCATGTAACTCAAGTAATATAAGGATCATTAACAGAAAACGTCCCACCTCCAGCTGGTAGAGAATGCTGCTACCAGTCTGTTAACCAGAAGGAAAAAAATACAGATCTAAGAGGAGAGGGAGAGATTCAGGGAGGAGCTAAGCTGTTACTGAACTATAGAAGAGAGAGGAACTTCCATATTCAGCAGAGTTCAATACACAAACCAGAAACATTACCTTTATTCAACATGCTGTCACTGCATCATTGTCTGTTTTCTCTGATATTTCTGGTCATTCTCAAAGGTTTAACTTTTTTAAAGTTTCACTCCAATATTTTCTGAATACAGTGATGGAAAGAATTGTACAACTTTGTATAACAGAGTTATTTCTTCCTTTAGGTGTCAGCTGTGAAGAACTCACTCCACTGAAGAAACAAGAGTCCAGTTTAGAAGACAGCACTGTTACTCTGTCCTACACATACTACAAAGCTGCCAGTTACGATGATTATTTCTTCTGGTATCGACAATATCCAGGAAAACCACCAGAGTTCCTCATCTCTCACTTGGGAACACAAAATGAAACAACCTCTAGACTGTCAGTTACAGTGAGTGAGGATAAAACCCAAATGGATCTGCAGATCTCCTCTGCTGCAGTGACAGACTCTGCTCTGTACTACTGTGCTGTGAGGCCCACAGTGACAGCAAACCCACAGTCTCTGTACAAAAACACAAGCTGACACACTGACAAGCTGCTGGAAGCCTTTTTCCACACTGTTGGACTCAACTTTTTAGCTCCACTAGAGGGCGACATTATCAAGTAGGCGGTGCACTACTTCTGCACTGTGTTCAACCATTCTGTCAATAATAACTGCTGCTGTGAAGAGAACAATTGTCACACTGAATGTTGAACATCAGCTAGTTTCTCCTGTTGATTTAAACCTTGTTGTAGAGATGGAACATTGGCTGTGGATTATTCTTGCTGCTCTTTTCTTTGGTAAGATAGAAAGCACAACATGTTTTTATTCTTTTCTAAAGATTGATGGAAACTGGAGTTCAGAGCAGAAATCTCTCAACAGTTGAGCTGTTTCTGTCCACAGAGTAACACTGTACACTTGATATTTTCCACTGTCTTCTCCTCTCAGCCTCATGAACAATGTTAGTCTAATGGCTTCATTTTCTCCACTTTTTCCAGGACTAATAGCTGGAGACACAATCTCTCCTGTAGGAGATAAAGTCAGTGGAAGAGAAGGAGAATCTGTCACACTCAAATGTCGATATGAGACAACTGTCAGCAATATTTGGCTTTACTGGTACAGACATTCTGACCTTCAGGCTCCTCAGTTTATACTCTATAAAGGAGCAAAAGATAACACAGGTGTTGAATATATTCCAGATAAACGATATGAATCTAAAACAACAGATTCATCAACTGAACTGACCATCAGAAAACTAACCCTGGCAGACACAGCTCTCTACTACTGTGCTCTAGAAACACAGTGATACAAAGTGTAGAAGAGGCTGTACAAAAACCTGAACACAGATATCTGACTACTCTTCAAAGAGGAGGGAAGTGGTATTCAAACCACAGCTTCATATCAGATGGATTCTGCTAATTCCTGTTTTATCAGAGTCACTGTGGTTACAGCTGCTAATGAAACACTGTGGGAGGATTCACATGAGCAGCAAATCCACATCAATGACAAACCAACTGGATGATGCTTCAACACAAGACACCATGGAAACAAATAAATCAACACTGATATTTAAAATGAGTAATATGTGACATCTGAACAACAACGTGTCTAACATTGAATCTTTTAGCTAAATAAATAGATTTGTGACCTGTGATTATGTATCTAAAGTGCATTTATCATACATTCTTTTATTCTTATAACATTTCTATTTGTTTCCCAACATTTACCAGGTCAGACTGGGTCCAGTATTTTATAGCTCAAATATTCAGTCATATACTGAGCATACTGAGCTGATCTGTTACCAGCTGGACTGGGTACAGTCTGCATTTTTCTGGGCAGAAGTCCACCTTTACAGTTTCTGGTCTTTAACATTTTTATTCAGTTTTGGTTGAACTGCAGTAAATGATGGACTGTTAACTGGAAATCATATAAGACAGGGCTGTGAATGAGGCCTGTCAGTGTGATCATTTCAATTTCAATTCAGTTTTATATTAAGTTAGTAAGTGTGTAATTATATTTACTGTTATATTTAACTCCACTACTGATAAATCATACAGTTTGAATCAAGTATCTCCATAAACTGGTTGACAACCCAGACTAGGTTTTGATTGCTCCTGTCTTTATATTTACTAAAGAAGTTTCTGTGATTGTGGTGTACCACAGGGTTTGATCCTGGGTCCTGTTCATTTCTATTTTGGTAAATGCATTTTAAACACAATATAGATTTCCATTGTTTTGCTGACAATGATGTATTCCATAAGTTTACATGATTATTATTCTATTCAAATTGTCTATCATTGATTCCACCTTTTATAGTTTCTCTACAATGAGTTTGCACATCACACTGCTGTGAAATGAAAGAGACCTGAATTTGTACCTGGAGGCCTCAATGGTCGAGTTAGTAGCTTTAAGGAGCTTTCAACCAAGTGTAATGGTTCAGGGTTCATCCAAAGAGAAAGACTGGAGTGGTGTCTGATAACACATTAAATAACTATGGGGAACACTATATTGTGAAACAGCAAGAACCCTGAACAAGAGACTGAATGAACAACAGAAACAGACAACATCAGCTGTCTGAGAACTCCAGGCCAAAATCAGTCCCAGCATTGACTGGGAAGGAGTCAAAGTCATCAACCACAAGTCATCCACCACACTGTAAGAAAAAAACCCGTAAAAAATGAATAAAGTAAAATTAAAGTAAAATACCCTAATTCAAATAATGTGTAAAAACATTACATTTACAGGAAATTACATAAAAATTTTTACAGAAAAATACCGTTATTTTACAGATTTTTCCCAAATAATTATGATCAATCACCTCCAATAAAGGGACAATGCTAAAAGTTCTGCAGGAAAATATGATTATTTTACAGATTTTTGCTAAATTATTGCGATCAGACACCAAAATATGATCTTCAAAATTACTGTGAAATATCCTCAACTGAAAACATACTAAAGCAATACATAATAGATACAGCTAAAGGTTTTCACTGTTTCGATTAAAATGTTGTGGGAAATTAACTTATAAATAAAGTAATCACCACTATTGATTCTAAAATCCTTTTATTTTTTGTATTCAGATGTCAATTTACAATATCAACCAATTATTCACAACAGTTCTTTAGAGCCCCCCAGGAGGAACTGAAAAACTAAATGTGTGTAACATGTGTGTCTGTTAGCATTTCTATCAAAATGAGGTCAAGATTTCACCTTTGAAATGGATGGAGGAAGCAACAAATTGTGTTGTTGAGCTGAGGGAGTTGTGGTCTTCTTCATTCTCCTAACCCTTGGGGGCTCTGTATAAGGTAGTTCTGATAACATCTGTGGAGAAGCATTACAGTCTTTTAATTAAGAATCCTAACTATACAGTGTATTATTAAGTAAAATGAAAATATACCACAAAGGGTCAATGAATCTGTAACAGAGGTGCAACACAGCAGAAAAAGCAGAAAAATCTGAATCCTCCTCCAAATTGGCAGAAATCGTCTGGATCTTTGATGCTCCTGGAGGGGACACACACAGAGAGAAACTATTACTGAATTTCAATTCAATTCAATTCAATTTTATTTGTATAGCGCCAATTCATAACAGAAGTTATCTCAGGACACTTTTCAAATAGAGCAGGTCTAGACCGAACTCTTTAACATTAATTACAGAGACCCAACAGTACCACCATGAGCAAGCACTTGGCGACAAGGGCAAGGAACAACTGCCTGTTAAAAGGCAGAAACCTAGGATAGATCCTCCGGCTCTAGGTGGGTGGTCGTCTGTCTCGACCAGTTGGGGTGAGAGAGAGAGAGAGAGAGAGAGAGAGAGAGAGAGAGAGAGAGGCAGAGAGAAAGAGAGCGAGAGATAGACAGACAGACAGGTGCACAGCAACAACAGTATTGGCAATGGCAGTCAAGCAGGACCATGGCAGGAGGCTCCACCAGAATCCATGAGAACCTGCGAGACGAGAAAGCACAAGAACTCCGGGGAAGAAGTGGAGTTAGTAACATGCATTAATGGAACATGAATGAGTGCATAAAGAGAGAGGAAGGGAGGAGCTCAGTGCACCATGGGAAATCCCCCGATAGTCTAGGCCTATAGCAGCATATCTAAGGGAAGGTTCAGGACTCACCTGATCCAGCCCTAACTATAAGCTTTATCAAAGAGGAACGTCTTAAGCCTACTCTTGAATGTGGTGAGGGTGTCTGCGTCCCGAACCACAACTGGAAGCTGGTTCCACAGGAGAGGAGCTTGGTAACTGAAGGCTCTGGCTCCTGTTCTACTTTTTAGAGACTATAGGAACCACAAGTAGCCCAGCATTCAGAGAACGTAGTGTTCTAGTGGGGTAATAGGGTACTATGAGCTCTTTAAGATATGAAGGGGCCTGACCATGAAGAGCTTTATAGGTGAGGAGGAGGATTTTAAATTCTATTCTACATTTTACAGGGAGCCAATGCAGAGAAGCTAGTACAGGAGAGATGTGATCTCTTTTTCTAGTTCCTGTCAGTACTCGTGCTGCAGCGTTCTGAATTAATTGGAGCGTTTTAATGGACTTATTGGGGCAACCTGATAATAAAGAGTTGCAGTAATCCAGCCTTGAAGTAACAAATGCATGGATTAGTTTTTCTGCATCTGTCTGTGATAGGATGTGTCTAATTTTTCTAATATTACGTAAATGAAAGAAGGCAGTCCTAGAGGTCTGCTTTATGTGGGAGTTAAATGACAAATCCTGATCAAAGATAACTCCAAGATTCCTGACAGTGGTGCTAGAGGCCAAGTTAATGCCATCTAGAGTAACTATATCTTTAGACAGTGAGTCTCTAAGGTTTTTGGGGCCAAGAACAAGAATTTCGTTTTTTTCTGAGTTTAACATCAGAAAATTGCAGGTCATCCAGGATTTTATGTCCGTAAGACATGTTTGTAATTTAGACAATTGATTAATTTCATTGGGTTTGATTGATAGATATAACTGCGTATCATCGGCATAACAGTGAAAGTTAATGGAGTGATTCCTAATAATGTTGCCTCAAGGGAGCATATATAAAGTAAATAGTATTGGTCCAAGTACAGAACCTTGTGGAACTCCATGACTAACTGTAGTATTTATTGAAGATTCATCGTTAACATGTACAAACTGCGAGCGATCTGATAAATATGACTTAAACCAGCTTAGTGCGGTTCCTTTAATGCCAATTTGATGCTCAAGTCTCCCCAAAAGAATATTATGGTCAATGGTGTCAAATGCAGCACTAAGATCTAATAATACAAGTACAGAGACAAGTCCATTGTCAGAAGCAGTCAGAAGGTCATTATTAACTTTAACCAGAGCTGTCTCTGTGCTATGATGAACTCTAAATCCTGACTGAAAATCCTCAAATAAACTATTGTTACGTAGAAAGTCACACAACTCTTTGGCGACTACTTTCTCCAGAATCTTAGAGAGGAAGGGGAGGTTAGAAATCGGTCTATAGTTGGCTAAAACCCCTGGGTCAAGAGTGGACTTTTTAAGAAGGGGTTTAATTACAGCTACTTTAAAGGACTGTGGTACATATCCTGATAATAAAGAAAGATTAATCATATCCAGTAAAGAAGTGCCAATTAAGGGAACAACTTCTTTAAGCAGCCTAGTTGGGATCGGGTCTAATAGACAGGTTGATGGCTTCGATGAAGAAATGATTGAAGTTAACTGATGAAGATCGATAGCAGAAAAACAGTCTAAATATATATCTAAGTTTACATTGACAGAAGTCCCTGAACTTGGAGAGCCACTGATAACTGTTGTTGGCAGTTGGTGATTAATTTTCTCTCTAATAGTAATAATTTTATTATGGAAGAAGCTCATGAAGTCATTGCTACTTAAGTTTATGGGGATATGTGGCTCAATAGAGCTGTGACTCTCTGTCAGCCTGGCTACAGTGCTGAAGAGGAACCTAGGGTTGTTCTTATTTTCTTCTATTAGTGCTGAGTAATAGGCTCCTCTGGCATTACGGAGGGCCTTTCTATAAGTTTTAAGATTATCTTGCCAATTTGAGCGATATTCTGATAATTTGGAAGAGCGCCATTTCCTTTCAGATTTCCTAGCTATTTGTTTTAACTGGCGGGTTTGGTGGTTATACCAAGGTGCTAGTCTCCTATGTTTTAATAATTTCCTTTTTATAGGAGCGATAGAGTCTAATGTTGATTGTAGTGAGCCTGTAGCACTATTGACAAGATTATCAATTTCAGAGGGACTAAAGTCGTTATAGGACTCTGTTAAATTCAGACATGGCATTGAATTAAACACTGAAGGAATCTCCTCCTTAAATTTAGCTACAGCACTGTCAGATAGACATCTGCTGTAGGAAGTTTTGCCTAATGGCTTATAATCTAATAGTATGAATTCAAAAGTTATTAAATAATGGTCAGATAGGAAAGGATTATGTGGGAAGACTATTAAATGTTCAATATCAATGCCATATGATAGAACAAGGTCAAGAGTGTGATTAAAACAATGAGTTGGTTTATTTACACTCTGACAGAAGCCAATTGAGTCTATTAATGATATAAATGCGTTACTAAGGCTGTCATTGTCAACATCCACATGAATATTAAAATCACCTACAATAATTACTTTATCTGATTTAAGGACTAAACTTGATAAAAACTCTGAGAATTCAGATATAAAGTCAGAGTACGGTCCAGGAGCGCGGTACACTATAACAAATAGAACTGGCTGCAATGTTTTCCAGTTTGGGTGAGAAAGACTAAGAACAAGGCTTTCAAATGAATTATAATTTAGTTTAGGTTTAGGGTCCATTAAAACGCTCCAATCATATATGGCTGCCACTCCACCTCCTCGGCCTGTGCCTCGAGGAATGTGAGTATTAATATGACTGGGGGGGTGGATTCATTTAGGCTAACATACTCCTCGTGGGACAACCAGGTCTCAGTAAGACAAAGTAAATCAATATCATAATCTGATATTAATTCATTCACTAAAACAGCTTTAGAGGACAGAGACCTGATATTTAACAGCCCACATTTCATTCTCTTATTTTGTGCTACTGAGGAGTTGGTTTTAATTTTTATTAGATTTTTATGTTGAACTCCTCTTGTTTTTATTTCTTTAAATAGTTTAGGTGGTCGGGGGACAGACACAGTCTCTATGGGGTTTTGGGTGGGTGACTGTTCTAAAGAAAGCGCAGAGAAGTGTGTAAGACAGCAGCTCTGCTTCCTGGTCCTAACTCTGGACTGTCAGGTTTTAGAGATAAACTTCGCCATATTTCTAGATAAGAGAGCCGCTCCATCCAAAGTGGGATGGATGCCGTCTCTCCTAATCAGACCAGGTTTTCCCCAAAAAGGCTTCCAGTTATCAATGAAGCCCACATCGTTTGCTGGACACCACCTCGACAGCCAGCGGTGGAATGACGACATGCGGCTATACATGTCATCACTGGTCACATTGGGCAGGGGTCCAGAGTAAAGACTGAAGGGTCTTTACTGTAAAAAAGTAGGATTTTATTTATAGTTCATTTTAAATGAACACTGCTGGAGTTTCACAGGAAATCAGTGTTGTAGCATTTTCCCAAACAACTGCAGAAAATAGTGACTACGTTTTAAATGCAAAAAACAAGTGAAGAATCCTCAGGTTCTGAGCTCTGCACTGTGGTCAAGCAAACCCACACCCACAGATCAAACAGTGTGTACGTCAACGCAGCTCCCAGCTAAGAAGCTACAGTGAAGATTTCTGCTCAACACATGGTGTAAATGACGACTTTTCAGGTCAACTTGGCATGTCTGGACTTTGGAAAACTTGGATTAGGATAGACAAGCAGTATGAAGGCCTTTTTATGTTTTTGTAAAGTTGTTTTTTAACGTTTGAAACAAAGCCGCTGTTGACTACAGCTGTTTGGGAGGATGCAGCAAGCTGTTTTCATGTGAAACTCCAGGAGTGTTTTGTGAATTGAAAAAAATAACCTGACCTTCTTTCAGCATGAGGGTTAGGTAATGACTGATTTTAATTTAAAGTGAACTACTCTTTTAAACAAACTTCATTTAAATTGATGAGACATTATAGTTAAAGGCTTTTACTCAGAAAGGATGTTAAAGTGGCCATTGGACTGCAGAGCTATTTCCTGGATAACTTTGGGGAATGACTAGCCAACTTACATTACTGTGTTACAAAGACTACTGGCCAGCATGATGGGAAAGTCATAGAAAACAGGGATTCATGTTAATGTGTGGAATGGGATTCATGTTTGAACCACTATGTACATTTTCATATTTGAAAGAAGTTGTTTAACCATTGTTAACCATTCGGCACCACTGGATTCATACACAGCATAGATGAGTACAATATTGT